CCTATGTGTTTTCATGTTTATACAATGATGCTTATTCATGAAAATAAATACATACAACTACACACACAAACAATTAACATCTTGTCTTAAAGAATCATGATATAACCTTGAAGAGAAGGTGAATACCCTCCCACACAACAAAAGAGAGTGTGCATAGGAAAAGGGACTTTTCTGCACACTGAAAATGCTGAGGCAGAAACATTGTTTGGAAATATGTAGCTGTGACTTTCTTTTCTCCTACAGTTGCAGGTATGGTATGGCCTCATTGGTCCCAAATTTAGAGTAAGAACAAGAGAACCAGATGTTTGTACATATTTTCTGCATAAATTAGTAAGTTCTTTCTACAAGGTGATGTGAATAGCATATTTGGGTCTTGTCATTTAAGAACTAAATTTATCTGTTCTTCTAGGTCCCTAATTTGTATGAGCAGCAACAGAGGCAACTTCAAACTTGTCAAAGCCAGGAGAATCCAAGTTGCAACACATAGCATTTGCTTGTCAATCAAATTAGAAGTTTAATCAACCTTAGGATGGCTGTGTGATGGTGCCTTGTGATTCCCCCTGAAGTCCAAACTGGGGACTGGTGTAAAAAATCAACTTCTTCTACTACAGCTAGCAGAAAATGGGTCAGGAAGTGGAAAAGCCGGTGGATGACTTTCGGAAGAACCCAGGATGTGGCATTCATGTACTAGAGAAGTCATGAGGACAGCCTGAAAGGGGCTGAGAATCCCCAGGAAGAGAGCTTAATTTTGCAGTCTTGTCTAGGGTTTCAAATGAAGGCCCTCAATATATCGACACCTGGAATGACAAAGTGGGAGGAACAGGGTAGACATTGCTTTCCGCTCTGAGGCTGTAAAGACGGCAAATAGAGCAGTGAGCAAACACTAGATTAAAAAAAAATACAAAAGGTGGATGAGAAAGAGTTAACGTTTACTGCTACTTAGCTGCAGCCGTTTTAACGGGAAAATGGATTTGTGCTTTTACAGGAAAAGCTTTCCTGGATAAGTGAATGGTGACCTTGAAACTCTATGATTTGTGAAAATTGAGTTTTTCTTTAGAAATGGTTTTCAAAAGTCAAGGAAAAGGTGGCATCTAAGTGGGAAATTAAATGTACTGAAATGTAAATTATCTAGGGACAAACGAACTAAAGTGCTAAATAACTCATTTTGGATGTCAAGTAAAATTTTGTTTGGGAGAAGACAGCTTGACTGGTCCAGAGCCAGCAGATAAAAGTAGAGAGGATAACATTCACAGACTCACAGACTGGTAAATAATGTTTTCCTGTTGGATTTCTTTAGAATATTTTCTGAGGCCATGATGTCCGTGAATTCTAATGTGCCAGCTTTCAAGGAGATCCAGCCATCCCTCTGGATCTATCCAGGCTAAGCAGACTGAGAAGACGCAGTCAGAAGGCTGACGGTGATGACAGAAAATACTATTCCCCCCCAGTCTCTAGGCAGGTAACCTGAGAGAGGAAGGAGGGTGGGAATTCAGAGGTAAAAGTCCTACAGAAGAAGCAACTCAGAAAGGGCAAGCCCAGAGAACCTTCCTGAGATGAATGGAGAGCAAGCCAGTTCCTTCCATCTTTCTCAGGAGGCTGACAGCCCTTCTTGGGTGTAACCACAGAATGGCCTGAAGGTGGACCATATAGAGCTTTACCCAGGTGAAAGTAGCAGTGTCTTCTCTGCTTAATGTACAGGGGAGGTCAACATGGCCCCTTTTGATGAATACATTAATGGAAAATTAAATTTTTATAATACTCTATAGTGATAGAAAAAGAACTTTCTCTTAATCATAGCTTTCTTATGAAACTAAAATTCATTTAGACTTGTCTTGGAATTTTTTGTTTGTTTGTTTCTTCTTCATGTTTGCTTCAGCAATTTATGGCTAGGAGTTAACTTTCCTTTAGTTTACAGTTTGAATAATTGTTGTGTGTTGGTGAGTCAGAGTCCACTCATAGCTGACCCACGATGGGTTTTCAGAGGCAGGTCATTGCACAGGAGGAGTTTGCCCATCCTTCTCCCCTGGAGCAGCTGGTGGAGTCGAACTGCATGGTGTTGGGATTGCAGCACAGCTTCTTACCATTAGCCCACCAGAGCTCCCTACAGTAATGAATAATAATAGTGCAAATAGGGAATAATACAGGTAATACATTAATTTTAGTGTAACTCCTCAAAGAAGGAAGCTTTCCACAATGTATGCTTATTCTAAGTCTCTTTCTATTCCAAATGAAATTGGAAATTGTCTTTCTCATCTCATTGAAGACTGGAATTGGTATTTTAATTGGGATTGCATTGAACATGTAGATTACCTTTGGTAGGATAATCATTTTCATAATATGGAGTCTTTCTATCCATGAGCAAGTTATATTCTTCCATTTCTCCAAGTCTCTTTTTGTTTTCTTGTAGTAATATTTTGTTACTTTCTTTGAGTAGGTACTTTTATTCCTAGTTAAATTTATTCCCAATTATTTGATGTTGTGATTAGCTATTATGAAGGGTATTGTGTTTTTTAGCCCCATTTCTGTATTCTCTTTGTCACTGTAGAGAAATCCAACTGATTTTTGTATGTTGATCTTGTATTCTGCCACTTTGCTGAAATGGTTGACTATGCCCAGTAGTTTTCTTGCTGAATTATTAGGGTTTTTCTAAGTATACTATCATATCATAGGCATATAGAGATAATTTTACCTCCTCTTTGCCAATTTGGATACCTCTTATTTCATTCTCTTGTTTTATTGCTATCACTAAGACTTCCAATGCAATACTGAACAGGAGAAGTGATAGTTGGCATTCTTGGCTAGTTCTTGTTCTCAAAGGGAATGCCTTTAATCTCTCTCCTTTGAGAACAATGTTGGCTCTTGGGGTTGCATATATATTTTTACTTTTTATCATTTAAGGAAATTCCCCTCTATTCCTATTTTGTTGAGTGCTTTAATCAGGAAAGGATGTTGGATCATTACCTAGGACTAAAACCAAGGTCTATAAACTTCATTAGAGAAAAGCTTGAAGAACTCTAGAAGCACTAATCCACAACATGAACAGTCTTCCAAGCATTCTGAAAAACTTACCACCAGGAGATTATAAAATAGATGAATGGAACCTTCTAAGAATCAAATCCCTATGCAAATTCAAGAACTTCTCAACCAGGGTAAAAAGGAAAGCTACAGACTGGGAAAAAATTTTGGTAATGACATGTCTGATAAGGAACTTATATTTAGAATTTATAGACTACTCGAGCACCATAACAAGATAAAAGTAAACAACCCAATTGCAAAATGGGCACAGGATATGAACAGATACTTCAACAAAGAAGACATTCAGTTGGCACACAAACAAGTGAGGAAATGTTAAAAATCCTAGCTCTAAGAGAGATGCAAATCAAAACAACTATGAGATATCTCACCCAAGTAAGAATAGCAAAATTCAGCAGAACATCAAACAACAAATGCTGGCGAGGTTGTGGAGAAACTGAGACCCTTATTCACTGTTGGTGGAATTGTAAAATGGTGCAACCACTACGGAAGGCAGTATGGAGCTTTCACAAGAAGTTGGAAATAGAAATATGATTTAACCCAGCAATTCCACTACTGGGAATATACCCTAAGGAAACCAGAACTGTCACCCAAGGAGATATATGCACATCCATGTTTATTGTTGCATTGTTCACCATAGTGAAGAGATGGAAACAACCCATGTGCCCATCAACAAATAAATGGATAGAGAAGCTATGGTAAAGTCATGCAATGGACTAGTATGCAGCACTGAAAAACAAAGAACTCATGAACTATTATACAAAATGAGTGACCATGGAGGACATTACGTTGAGTGAAATATCTTAGCTGCAAAAAATGACAACTATTGCATAATACCACTGTTACAAAAATGAACTGACATGGGGGTTGGGGGAAAACTAAGAAAAGAGGGGATAAAAAATGTACATGGCTGGTGCAACCACTGTGGAAGGTGGTATGGTGCTTTCTCAAAAAATTGCAAATAGAGATACCATTTGACCCAGCAATTCCACTACTGGGAATATATCCCAAAGAGACCATAACTGACATCCAAGCAGATATATGCTTGGATAAACACACATGTTTATTGCAGCTCTGTTCACAAAAGCAAGGAGCTGGAAACAACCCAGGTGCCCATCAACAAACGAATAGATAGAGAAGCTGTGGTATATTCACACAATGGAATTCTATGCTGCATTGAAAAACAAGGAACTTATGCAATATTCTTCAAAATGGGTGAACCTGGAGGACAATATGCTGAGTGAAATATCCCAGTTGCAAAAGGACAAATATTGCATGGTGCCACTGCTGTAAAATGGGGCTGATATCAGGGTGGGGGTAAGACTGAGAAAAACTGGATAAATTGTGTATACTGCCCTGAAACAGATGAGGGAGAGAATAATTTAAAAGCGATGTATGATAGGGTATTATGGTTATCACAAGAGTCCACAATTAAGGTTGCATAGTGGAATGTCCTTGGGGTGGTGGGAGGGGGGCAGGGGGATTGTGTACCAGGGAGGGAGTCTTTCTTTTACTTTTGAAAGAGAGGAGCAAACTGGGGGGCAGGGGGAGAGGGCTGGACGGGTAGAGAAGTGCAGCAATGAATGAATGGAAATCCAAATTCTCTGTAAATGTTCATTAAAATTATTAAAAACACACACAAACACACAAATGTACATGACATTGAAACAGATAAGGGAGAGAACTATATAAAAGGAATATATGATTAGGTATTATTTGCATGACAAGGGTCCATAATGAGAACTGCATAGTAAAGTGGAGTGGGTTGGGGGTGGAGAATTGTACAACAATGAAATATTTTTTTTTCTCAAAGAAAAAAACAAATTGGGGAGGGAGGCAGGGAAGAAAATGTGCAACAATCCAAGTTCCATATAAACTTTCATTAACATCTAAAAAAAATTTAAAAATAAGATGATGGGGCATGGAGATAGGTAAAAGATTAAAAACTGTTATTAAGTAAATCTAACCTTCAAAAATCCTCAAGACTTCTTGGTTAATATACTTCTTTATTTCTTCAAATGAAACAGCATCAACCTAGAGAGGAAAACAAAAGTGGTCTCTTAACTATAGAACAGAAGAAACAACACAAATGAACATAGAAATACATTGTGGGTATGCATACTTGAAGCACTTATTAGGCAAAATGTGTTTGATCACTGACTATATTAGAAAACAAAAAATCACACAGAATTAATAATTTAATATTAAAAATTAATAAAACACATAACTAGATGTGTTTTATTAAATGCAAGGAAGAAGGTGAGGTGTATAATTGCTAGAAAAGCTGTGGGCTGAATCCCCGGAACAGAAATAGCTCAAATGTCCAACTACAGTTGAATGGACTGAGAAATTGTGGTACATTACACAATGGAATACTATGCAGCACTCAGGATCAATATAGAAAATTGTTACATAACTTTGGAGAGCCAGGAGGGCATCATTGTGAGTGAACTAATGCAGTCTCATAAGGATACATACTGCATAGAATCATTATTGTAAAAACAGAAGGATAACTAGTAAAATGCATATGGAGATCCAAGGGAGGAAGTGGTGGGAACAGAGGGGTGAGGGTGGGCCCCAGGGGAACCACAGGGTCACACAATTTGGTGGGTGGGGGAAATGGGAAAGATTCAGCAGAAACCTGGAAAGACAGGGTAATGACAGGCATTGGTTGTTGTGGGTTTTTTTTTGTTGTTGTTAGATGCTATCAAGTCAAGTCGGATTCATAGTGACCCTATGAACAAAAGATCTGAAACCAGTCCTGTCCTGCGCCATCCTCACACTTCCTGACATACAAGAAGCCATTGCAGCAGTCACCATTTCAATCCACCTAGCTGAGGGTCTTCCTCTCCTTCACCAGCCCTCCACCCTTCCCAACATCATGTCTCTCTCCAAGGAATAGCACCTGTAGCAATATGTCCAAAGTATGTGGGGCAAAGCCTCATCTTTCTTGCCTCCAAAGAGCACTCTGGCTGCACCCTGTCCAAGATTTATTTATTCATTTTCTTGGTTGTCCATGGAATGTTAAGTGTTCTTGTCCAATTACACAGCCCAAAGGCATCAGTTCTTTTTCTGTCATCCTTATTCATTGTCCAGGTCTCAGACGCATAGCTAGTAATTGGAAAGACCATGGCCTGAATCAGATGCACCTTAGTCGTCAAACTGGCATCACTACTCCTTAACAATTTGGAAAGGTCCCTGACTGCAGATTATCCCATTGCAATGTGTTTTCTTATTTCCTGACTGCTCATACCAAGGGTGTTAATGGTTGATACAAGCAAGATGCAATCTCCTCTTCATCCATCATGACACTGCCTATTGATCCAGTAGTAAGAATATTTGTTTTCTTGATATTGAGATACAATCCATACTGAAGGCTACATTCCTAGATCTTCTGCAACAAGTGGATCAAATCCTCACTTTCAGCAAGCAAGATTGTGTCATCTGCATAGCGCAGGTTATTGTTGAGTCTCCCTTCAATTCTGATGCCACACTACTACTCTTCATAGAGTCCAGCATCTAGGATAATTTGTCTAGGTATGGAGACAGTATCATCTCTGATGCACTTCCTTTCCAGTTCAAAACCATGCAGTACTCCCTTGCTCCATTCACACAATAGCCTCCTGGTCCAGGTATAGGTTCCTCACGAGCCCAATCAAGTGCTCTGGGATTCTCATTCTTCTCAATGTCAGCCACAACTTATCATGATCCACATAGTTAAATGCCTTTGCATAGCCAATAAAGCACAAATAGATATTTTTCTGATATTCCTTACTTTCAGCCAGGATCCATCTGACATCAGCAATGATGTCTGTACTGTCACGGTCTCTTCTAAATCCTTCTTGAACTTCTGCAATTCCCTACCTATGTGCTGGTCCAGCCATTTTTTAATGATCTTCAGCAGTATTTTGCTAGCATGTGATATCATATTGTTTGATAATTTCCATATTCAGTTGGATCACCTTTCTTGCGAATGGGAATAGATACAGGCATCTTCTAATACATTGGCCAGAAAGATGCCCTCCAACTTTTCTGACATAGACTGGTGAGTGCATTCTAGGCCTCTGTTAATTGGAATAAGTCAATTGGTACCCCATTGATTCCTGGGGCCTTATTTTTTGCCAATGCCTTCAAGGCAGCTTCCATTTCCTCTTTCATTAACATTGGCTCCTATTCATATGGTACTTCCTGAAAATTTTCAGTGTCAACCAATTCTTTCTGGTACAATGACTCTGTATATTCCCTCCACCTTCTTTTAATAATTTCTGGGTCATTCAATACATTGCCCATAGCATCTTTCAACATTGTGATGCGAGTTTTGTTTTTCAGTTCCTTCAGCTTGAGAAATGCAGAGCGAGCGTTTATCTTTTTATTCTCTAATTTCAGTTCTTTGCACATTCCAGTATAATATTTTGCCTTGTCCTCCTGAGCTGCCCTTTGAAACCATCTGTTCAGCTCTTTCACTTCTTTATGTTTTCCTTTAGATTTGGCTTCCCAGCATTCCAGTGCAATCATCTTGGGCATTGCTTGATGATGATTAATTTTATAAAACATAATGAATGAGAACGATGGTATGAAACACAATATGAATGAAGGATAGTGTGAAACACAATATATATGAATATTGTATTCAAACCTTCAAAGCAATGTAAAATTTAAAAAAATGTATATTTAAAAAAAAGCTGTGGGCTGGAATTATAATCAGTGATATGAGCAGGTTTCCTATTAAATGGAGAGGCATGGCTTTGCACAGTTATGAAAAACCTCTAGGAATTAATTTTCTGAAGTTATAGAACTTCAACAGTGTTGTCAGGGTGTTAGTATACAAGTGATATTTTAACTTTTGTCCAGTCACTTGACACTGGATAGGCCAATGTCTCAACTGCTGTTAGATGTCTTTAAGGAACATCCTGAAAGAGAACTCCAAGCATGCTAGAGTTCAAGTTTAAGTGTTGTTTTATTCATGGAATAAATATTGGCTGTTTCATGATACAGTTTATGTTGTTGTTGTTGATAGCCTTCAAGTCGAGCATGACTCATAGTGACCCTGTGACCCTTCAAGCAACTACTCTACAACCTCTCTACAACTACTGACATTGAAAGCTTACTCTTTAACCACTTACTGCAAGTATATTAGCATTAAGCAATTTTCTTTATTTTGAGGAGAAAATGCTTATGAGTCTGATAAATGGAAGTCTTTAAAATGGTGTCAGTTGAATTTTAAACCTCTTGACTGATCAATCTATATGCACTTGACCAAAGATCTAGAATTTTCAACAGAAACATTTTGCTATAGTACCTCGATATTGGTTGAGGATTTGTGTAGATTGTTTGGTTGTTTTTATTTAAGCCTCTTGTTTAGAGTCAACCAGACCTCCTGGAGGACACTTGTATATAAAGCCAAGCCCTTGTCTCCATTTTGGAGACTTGATGAAGCAGCTGGACTCTGTAACATTGACTCTCTTATTTTAGTTGAGGGTCAGTGTGGATTATATTGGTTATATTTTATTTAAGCTTCTTGTTTAGAGTTAACAAGACCTCCTGGAGGGCTCTTGTATTTAAATGTTGAGCCCCAGGGATTATATTTTAATCCCTTGTTACTATATTTTAGAGGAACAAGTCAATTTCTTTTTCTGTGTCTGTATATGTGAGATAGAGGACCATCTATCCTCTCAGATGAGTTCTGAGGATAAGATAAGGTATGTTGCCAGGAGGCACCAGTCCTTGGAGAAGGACATCATGCTTGGAAGGGTAGAGGGTCAGCACAGAAGAAGAAGATCCTGAATGAAATGGATTGACACAGTGACTGTGGCAATGGGGCCAGGTATACCAGAGACATAGAGGTTAGTTCAGGATAGGACACGGCTCAGAGCTGTATTGTTCAGAGATTGATTATGAATTGTAGTCGACTCAATGGCACATAACAACAACAACAACAACAACATAAATGCTTAGCAGAGGGCTCAGTATAGAATATTAAATAAATGATATCTATTTTTACCCCCACAAAGGTTCCAATTTAGGTTCATTTTCTTGATTTTAAGATTATGATTTTATTATAAAAGTGATACATAATTGCTACAGGTAAGGATTTTCTGGAAGTCTAAGCACTTACCGAAGTGCCAGGGATGCCTGGAGAACCTGGAGGGCCTTGGTGGCCAGGGGAACCCACGGAGCCTTTGATTCCTGGGGGCCCCACAGGACCGATGGCTCCCTTCAAGCCTGGAAGGCCGGGTTTTCCCTGTTCCCCTTGTGGGCCTCTGTCTCCTGGAATTCCTTGATCACCCTGTGAAGAAAGATAACGACAATAAGGAATGGTTTCTTCTACAGCTATGATAACTGTGATTTAAGAGCAAAGGCTTTCAATTCTGATTGGTTTACAACTTAGAAAAAAAATAGAAAGAAATGGAATTTAGCAGGAATTTCAGCTATACCTTTTAAAGTATTTAATTCCACAACTCCAGGAGGTGATATTTTTACCCTGAAGAAGATGAGAATGCCCTGTGTTTCATTATATATGCTTTTATTTGTACAACTTGTGATTTTTAAGTAAAAGGTCAATACTTCACTTTTCTTGATTAAAAAAAAAATTAGCTAGGGGAGCTCAGGTGGCCTAGTGGCAAGAAGCTTTATTGCAATGCAAGAGGTGCACAGTTCAAATCCACCAGATGCTCTGTCGGAGAAGGAGGTACAATCTCCTCCTGTACCTGTCAGATCTGATTGGATGGTACACACACACACTAATTTAAAAAATAATAATAAAAAATTAGCGAAAACAAATTTTACATAGAGGTATGTGATCACAGAATGGAGAGAATGCATTTTCTTCTATGTAAAAAAAAGAAAAACGGATAGACTAAAGTATTAATACTAATGTCCTAGTTACAAACATTTATCTTCATACAGGTATATAAAGCTAGTTTATATCTGGGATATATTTGAGACAGCTAAAAGCATAATTAATAGCAACCACACACAAACCTATTCTTAATATTTTAAAATTATTTCAAAATTTAGGTGTAAGGGTATTATTAAAATGATATTTATTATTAAATTTAAAAAAGACCTAAATGACAAGAAAATGACAACTAGGTAAGTAAAATAAAGTATACTAAAAAAATAGAAAACAGATATTCAGTAAATGATAGATGCATATCTGTATTTACTGACATGGAACGATGGTCATTATATATTGTTAGGTGATTCTCAACTGGGGAAATTTTGCTCTCTAAAAAGAAAGTGGTGATGCATTTGACATTTTCAGCTGTCACAACAGAGATATGTCAAGAGTAACGCTTTTGGTATCTAGTAAGTAAGGATGTGTTAATATTCTCCAACGTAAAAGGTAACACTTCACAACAACAAATTATCCAATATTAAATTTTAATAGTGCCAGGATTGAGAAATCTGCTCTAGATAAGAGAGAAAGGATGTTTAATTATAGTAGAGCATGTGTCTGACACAGGACAATGATCAAAGCTCTCCAGTGTGGAAAAGCAAATCAGACTTAACTTTGTAAAAGAATACACTGCATAGGCACACCTGCTATATTGTACTCCTCTAGTTCTTCAACTGTCATATTTTATAACAGCAAAGTATCGTTTAGCAGAGCTTTTGAATACTACATACCCTAGGTATTTTCCTATTGCAAGATTTATAGAGTTTCTACACATAATTTGTGCAGCCCCATGGTTGTAACAGACAGACTTTAAAATGGTGACAAGAGTAATATACTTACACGTTCTCCTTTGGGGCCTCGATCTCCAGGCTTACCCATGATGCCCTGAAAAACATATGTCAACACTAAATATCACTGCTTGTCAAGATTTTGTATCGATTCAATTGATCTAAATGTTGACAAGTATTCTAGAGGCAGTTATGCATTTGAATTTTTATCTTAAATAGTATTTTCATACCTGAGCACCTGGTAATCCATCTTTTCCATTTATGCCCTATAAAGAAGAAAATAGGATGAATGTTCCTAATTTTATGTTAATGTTGTTTTTGCTGATTGCCTTCGAATTGAGCATGACTCATAGCAACCCTATGAACAAAAGTCTTGAAGCCCCTCTACAACTATCGACATTTATCAAAGTTCGTAGGGCTTCTGGAAAGCCATGCTATTTAGAAAGTGGATACCACTCCTGCTTCCAAATTATTAATAGGCTTAGTTAAAACCAACAAGTGGGTGAACTTTCAAGAAGAGTTTCTTTTGCATATTTCCAGTGATATCTAGTGTTATGTCAGGGTCACTGAGTCAAGTATGACTCACAGTGACTCTGTGAACAATAAATCTGAACCCTGTCCTTTGCTGTGCCATCCTCACAGTCTCTGAAACATGTGAGCCCATTGCTTCATTCACTGTGTCAATCAATCTGTTGAGAGTCTTCCTCTCTTTTGCGGTTCCTCTACCTTATTAAAAACTATGTTCCTTTCCAAGAAATAGCCTCTCCTAACAACATGTCCAAAGCATATGAGACAGTTTCATTATCTTTGCCTCCATGGAGCTTTTCACCTGCACTTTCTCCAAGATGTATTTGCTTTTTTGTTGTTTTTTTTTTTTTCTCTTTCTTTTCTTTTGGCAATCTATGGGATACCTCCAATCCTGATGCCACATTCCTTTGCATGAAGAATGAAGAAGTCCAGCTTCTCAAATAGTTTGCTCAGAATACAGATTGAATTGGTATTGAGAAAGGATACAACTCTGACCCACATCTTTCTTAATTTAAAATCATATAGTGTTCCTCATTATGTTCACACAATGGCCTCTTAGTCTAGCTATAGGTTTCTCATGAGCACAACTAAATCTTCTGAAATTTCCATTCTTCTCAATGTTAGTCATAGTTTGTTATGATCAACACAGACAAATTCTTGAAACATGATGAGGCAATGTGATAAAAGGGAAATTAAAATTGATAAAATTAAATAGGCTGAATTAAAATTCATTCTTTGTCACTTGTCAGTTTGTTATATTTTAGCTGAAGTGAATAGAAGAAATGAAGAAAAAAATCAGAACAGAAGATTATAACGCGTAGTTCTTGAAAACAAAGTATTAAATGTGCAAAGACCTAGAACAAGAACACCAAGAAGAAAATGATTGACATTTGTCAAGTTCAAACCACTGAAGGGAGAAAAAAAAAATCAAATCTTGACATGCAATATTGAAGGATTCTATGTGTAAAAGATCTGAATGATATAGGAAACATGAAAAACAAACAGAAGAAATACAGCCACTGAACCAAAAAGAACTGCTTGACGGTCCTTTCAAAAACTACCATATGATTAAGAATTGATGTTACTGAAGAGATGAGTTCAAACTGTTCTGAAGGCATTGACAAAACCCCTAAACTTTAGGAACTGACAAACTACCAATTGAAACAGAATTCTGGGAACACCTTCTAGGCTAGACCAAGAAATTTGAAAGATAAGTACCTAGCCAATCAATTGGGGGGAGGGGGGGAAACAAAGCTTCATTTGTGTACATTCCAGAGAAGGGTGATTTACCAGAACTCAAAAATTATCAACCAATGATGAATTCTGGCAGAAGAGTCCAAAGTGTTGCACTGCTAACCAGAAATTATTAAACAATATATATGCACATATATAGAGATCTCTCTATCTATCTAGATATCTCTATCTCTATATCTATATCTATATATAATGCAAGTACACTTTTGTTGAATAAAAATTGGTGGAAGCAGTATACAGATAGAGAACTGATGGAAAGTCAGTCTAGATTCAGAAGAGAATATGAAATGAAGGGTTATTGCTGTAGATATATCAGATGGATCTTAGCTGAAAGCAGAAGATACTACAAAGGTGTTTATAAAACAAAACAAACAATAGACTCTTCAAGCTCACTGCCACTGAGTTGACCTTGACTTAATAGTGACCCTCTATCAGGTTTCTAAGACTGTAAATTACAAAAGGAGGAGACTGCTTGTTTTTCTCCTATGGAGCCGATAGTGGATTTGAACTAAGGGAGACATGCAACCATTGGGCTAGTAGTGTAACTTGCTAGGGGCTATGCTACCCCAGTGCCCTTACCTTTACTGGTGTTTCACTGATTGTGCAAAGACATTGGACTGTGTGTTTATATAATAAATTATAGATAGCGTCTCTCTCACCCGAATTTCAAAACCATCTCAGGAACAGGTTTGAGGCCTTGAATACTAATGAGCAAAGACCAGATGAGTTATGGGAAGATATCAAGAATATAATCCAGGAAGAAAAGGTCATTACAAAGACAGAGGAGGAAGAAAAACCCAAAATGTATGTCAGAACAAACTCTGAATATTACACTAGAGCACCGAGAAGCCAAAGCAGAGGGGGGAAAAAATCAAGATATTAAGGAGCTGAACAGAAGATTTCAAAGGGCAGCACAGGAATACAAAGTAAAGTATTATAATGAAATGTGCAAGGAGCTGGAGACAGAAAATCAAAAGGGCCAAACTCATTCAGCGTTTCTTAAGCTCAAGGAACTGAAGAACAAATTCAAGCCTCAAGTTGCAATCCTTAAGGATGCTTTGGACAGAATAGTGAATGATCCAGAAAGTATTAAAAGAAGATGGAAAGAGTACACAGAGTCATTGTAACAAAAGGAATTGGTGGCCATCTGGAGTCTCTGCTTCCATTTCACCACTGCTGGCGCTGGAGTCCCCAGGGCAGCTGCTGGGTCGCGTGCGCTTTCTGGATGGCCATTGGCTGATGCTCTGGCTTTCCTGTCTCCCCCC